GCTGGTCACCCTCCGAAGGCGAGGAGCAGGTCCGATATGGCTACGGGAGGAGAACCGAGCATGCCCCAACATGTTCCGTTGATTTACGGACGGCCAGTAGCTGGCGCGCCGGGGCTGCTTCCCCTCGCTCCAGCTGCGGCGCGCGACTGAGTCTGTCTGTGGCAAGCCGTCTTGGCTCAGCATTGATAACGTCGTTCCCTGGCCCGCGGACCGAAGCGGCGCCCCTCGTTTCCAGCGCGAGCTCCCCGATGCCAGCCTGGCGGGGCGCGCGGCGAGTCTGCTGCGCCCGCCTCTAGTCAGGGGCCGCCCGTGGCCGGGCCCCAGCCGGAGAGGCATGTCTCCTTGGCCAGCGATCACCTTCGGGGGGCCTGCAGGCTTAGGATAAGACCTTGCGGTCGCCAGGGTGCTGGAAGTCGCGATGGGGTTGCCTGTCGCTTGGCCCTCTATCCCGCTCGTCCTATATCTCTCGGCATTCTATTCTCTGTGTCCTTCCGGACTTTGGCCGATGGGCACTGGATTTTGCTTGCTGCATTGCCCTGGGCTTCGTCTACGCGAGCGCCCTGAAGCGCAACTTCGACGCGCGCTCCATCTTCCGCAGAACGCGCAGCGCCGCGAATGAAAGACGCGCGTCGCTGAATACCTCGGGAAGTTCCCGAAGCGGAACTTTTATGGTTCCCGGCGTCACTTTTAGGTGCCATCCCCGCCCCTAACATGGTTTTTTCGGCTTCTTTTGGTACCTCGACGTCCTCGGTCAACTTTTCGCGGGCGGGGCCCCGTGTGCGCATTGCTTTTGCTGTCGTTAGTCGGCGCGCTTTGTTTTTGAGAGGTGGCCGCGCCGGATTCTGGGATGTCCGCGGTCCGTCTCGGCCCCTCCCCGCCCCTCTCTTACCGGCCCCTCTACGCGGGGCGATGATTCGCCCCGCGCGGCGTGGTTGGCTGGCGAGGAGTTGGCGACGACGGGGGCAGCCGAGCGCGCGCCGCCTCTCTTGCGCCCCCTCCCCCTCGCGGCCGCTTTGCTCGCGAAAAGGTTCACTGGGGCCTGGCCGCCTGGCCGCCTTCGACGGCGACGTAGGGCCATGACTTGCGGGCGTTTGCTCCGGCCCGAAGGCTGAAGCAACCCCCGTCTCAGATGGGGCTCGCCGCCCTCGCATTGCCTCGCAGCCTGTCGGCGCGGCGTTGCACGCGTGAGCTGGTTCTCCCGTTGGCCCAAGCCCAGCGTGTGCTTGTTCTGGGCAACCGTCTTTGCCTCGCGGGGGGAGTTCTGGTGGCCCGCGTGAAACCGGCGGCGGCTGCTCGACGGAAGCTTCGGCGTGGGCTCGGAGATTGGCGACTGGTCCTCCGACGCCCAGCGTGACCTTCAACCCCCGGCCTGCAGCTGGCACGCAGTCAGGAGTCGGTGCCAATGGGGCCCGGGCATGGTCAGAGTTTTTACATTCCCGCCTCGGCATCGGCAGAATGCCAGCAGGAAGAGGGGATTGAGTCCGTCCTCCGCGCCCTAGCTCGCGCACTGTTCGACCCTGTAGCCTTGGGGCTAAATCCGCCCATGGGCTCGGCTGTGTCGGGGCATTGCGCATCTCGGGACACTTCTGTTTAGCGGCGCCCAGGGCCCGCCTGGATTGCCGCGCCGATGGGTTCGTTTTTTATTCCAATGGCGTGCATGGGAGTCGATCGAGGCGCGCATCGCGCCGCTGAGGAATCGCATCAGTTCCTGGTGCGCGCAGGTGCGTGCGTGATTGCGTGCCATTGCATGGTTTAGGAAAAAAGCTCGATGTCGCCGGCCAGGTTCAGCGTTGCGCCCGGGCCTGTCGCCTGCATCTGGGCGCGCGGCTTGAGCAGGTCCATCGCGTGCTACTGGCCGAGAAATTGGCTTCGGTCAGAGTGGCTCCAGTATCTTGGCAGGGTGAGTCTTTGCCCCCTGGGCGAGTTGGACTATTTCGTCTCGTCGGCTAAGCGGATCGGCAGTCGGTGCCGGCGTCGTGCGGCGCAGAAATCCCAGGCCAAGTTTTGATTTGTTTGTCGAGGGCGTGAGTTTCATTGGCGAGCTCGACAAACTGTCGCGCCGAATTCCTCGGCCCGTGCTCGAGCTGGGGAAGGATAAAACCGCGCTCCGACACCCTCGCGGCGTGGTCGACGCGGAGGCGGGGCGCTGGCGCCAGTTATGGGCGCCGAGTCGTTTGGTGGAGGGCGAGGTATTCCAGGCGTTCTCCGATGCGCAGGGATCGGCAGAGAGCCGCCCGCTGCCCGGCGTCGTGCATGCGACCTCCGGCGGGCGATTCGACGCGCGCGTCCGTCGTCTAGCATGGGGGCGATTCCGGCGTGCCGTTGGGCTTGGAAAAGCCGCCGGGCGAGGCATTTTCGTAGCTGGTTCTCGCCGCCGAGGGGAGAGAGCATCGTTTCTGTTGGCCTGGAGGGGATGCCCCCCGAGAAGTCCACTGGGGGTCGCGCCGCGCCGCGGGGCTGGCGCCGCTCCCGGGCAGAAGTGAGCCGCGCCGCGTCCTGTTGAACCGGCGGGAGTTGGTCCCGCAGATGGGTCATGTTGCGCCTTCCTCCGTCCTCGTGCGCGCAGTTGGCGGGCCGTGGCTCGAGCCTCGAGGGAAGCGGGAATCCCGTGGCGCTCGTGCTCAGGGCACGGCGGTCGTTGCAAGCAACGTTCGCGATTTTCGCCGCGCAGATGTTGGACGACCCTGCGCGCGAACGGGCTGCGCGGCGCGTGGTTTAGGCAGCCGTGCGCGCCGATGCGGAGGTCGCGCTTGGTTTCGAGGCCTTCTGCCTGCTGATGGGACAGCCTTGCCTGCGTTTCCCAGCGTTGAAAAATGGTCCGCGGCAGGTACTCGAGAGTGTGAATTTTGGCTTCTGGGGTGAGGAGATCCCAAGAGACCTTTGATCCTGCTGTGGTGCGCATATGTGGGCGGCCGCGCCTGCAGCAATGCACCTCGCAGAGTGGGGCTCGGCGTGGTTTAGTTGGGACGTTTGGGGGCCAACTTGGACATGCAGGTCTCTATCCACGGTGCTTTTGTGGGCCCCCGCCGAGCCATTCCTTGGGGGGGACTCAGGGTGCTGGTTCTATCATGGCAGGCCGCTAGCGGGGCTATAGCTTGCGTCGCTGGCTGCAGAAATTTTGCGAAACAGCGATTTTGTAGCAAGTGGCTCGCCCCCGAAGGCGGGGATGATGATTTGTGGGCGTCCTTCGGGCGACTTTTCCAGAAGCAGAACGCGCTCCCTGGCCTTTTCATTGCTCCGTTTGCCCAACCGCACCGGGATGAACATATCATGGTGCGTCGCCCGCCTGGCATCTGGCCCACGGCAGGGAATGATCTTGTATAAGCTATTGCTCGTACTGCGGCTTGCCAGGGTGCCGGGCCCGCCTTCCCGCTAAAGTTCGCCAGGCGGCGTCGCTGCACGAACGCCGTGCTTTCCTTGTACGTATGCGTTCATGACGTGCTGTTCTAGATGCTTTCATTGATGGTGCATTCGTTGCGGAGGAAAAAGATAACGTCTTCTGCGGTCAGTCCTCCATATGTTGCTGCCCTGCCTCTCTTTGTCTCTCTCTCTCTCTGTCTCCCCCCTCTCTCTCATTGTGTGTGTGTTCGCTTCCCCCACTGTTTTAGGCGATAGTGGGTGGGGCTGCCAGAAATGTGGAGGCTCGGCGGCCTAAGGAACAGTTGTGGCCTGGCGTGACCCGCCTTGTTTTGGCCGTGCCAGCTATGATAATGCAATATTATGTAAGCCCCCTGCGGCTAAACTTCGCAGTGGCGGAGGGTGGTATCACTATTCCCGTGTCGTGCGATACCATCGTAAGTCGCAGGCTTGCTGTTACATGAGGTGTGATTGTTTCGCGTGTGCCCTGTGAGCTAGCCTCGGCCGCTTGCGCACTGGTGTCTTCACTCCCACCATGGAAGAGCACCGGGACCGGGACCGAACGTCCACGGGGCGGTGGTTTACGGTTTCGAGTGCGGCCGAGGAATGAGCACGTGATTGCCATGTGTAATTCACGGCTGGTGCACTTTCATCGACACTTTTGGTTTGTCATGTTCATTATCATGTTCTTCGCTCTTTTTCTCCTCCTCGCCCCTCTTCCGCCCTCTCTGCACGCGCGCGCAAACCTTCCCAGGCCACACCCCCTGTCGAACATTTTCCATGTTATCACAAACGTCGCTCAGCACGCTGGGCTGCGTGAAACCATCATTGTCGTCGTTGTTGTTGCCGCCGTTGCCGGAACCTGTCCGAACACATTGGACATCCGTGCGACACGTCGCCATTTTATCCCTCTCTCCCTCTCTTCCTCTTCGTCCTCCCCCTCCCTCTACGTCTCCTCCTACTCCTCCCCCTCCCTCTTCGTCTCCTCCTCCTCCTCCTCCTCCTCCTCCTCCTCCTCCTCCTCCTCCTCCCCCATCCACCGTCGCTTCCCCTCCCTCGCGGCTGCTCCCTCTCGTCGTCATCGTCGTCCTCCTGGTTTTTCTCCTGCTGCTCCTCCTCCTCCTTGTCCTGTCCCGCCTCCTGCGGGGCCAGGGGTATGGTCCAGTGCGACCTGTCGCTTCATACAGGTCAGCAGGTAGCACGCTGAGCTTAGGAATTGCCCAGGCTAATTATTGGCGGTCGTCGCGACTACCTTGATCGGATTTCGCATGCGGCTGAGCCAACAATTCGCAGTAACGATGAGCTAACCAATTGTTCCTGACAGTCTGGTTCTCAACCCAGCAGCTACATCCAGATTCCTAGAGTTCCTCATCCGCCCTCCCCCTTTCGTCCCCCTCTTCCCTCCTACCCTCTCCTGTTTCCTCCTGGCCCTTGCCTCCTCCTCCTCCTCCTCCTCCTCCTCCTCCTCCTCCTCCTCCTCCTCCCCCCCTTTCCGTAGCCATTTTGGTTCAAGATGTTTTGTTCCACAGGGAACGCGTGGATACCGCTAGTCCGCGGCCAGCTTTCAGTCCTTCCCCTGGTCAGCCCCAGGGCGAGCGTCGAGGTGGTCCGCCCCACCTTGGCGCGTTTCTCTCATCCCAGGCATGGTGCCGCAGCCGCCAGCGGTCACTGTGCTCCGCGGCCTTCGCAAACCCCACTGGTGCTGCGGGCAATGCGGGCGCGCGGGGAACTGGGCGTGCCGCATCCACTGCCTCTGCGGGGGTGACGCGCCTGCTGCCATCGTCTCGCGTGCTCACCAGAAGCACAAGGAGGCCGACGCTGGCGGAGGCGGCGGCAAGAAGGCGGGCTTCAAGCAAGGAGGCTCGTCGACGCAGGGCATCCCCAAGCAGCTCGCGGAGTGGATGCAGGCCATCGAGATGCGCTTGGCGCCGCCCGACAAGGAGTGGCCCAAGCCTGGCGGCACAGCGCCGTGGCGCGAGGCCGCAGACGGTGCTGACCCTGACAAGAAGTCGCAGAGTGCCAAGCTCGGCGAGCGGATCACGGAGCTCGAGGAGTGCCTAAAGAAGCTTCCGCCCGCCGACGAGCGCAACAAGGATCTTCTGGGTCCAACCGAGAAGAAGTTGGAGACACATACGTGCGGAGAAGCGTGCGCTACTGTCTCCCCAGGCCCTCCATCGGCGCACGCAGCAGGATCCGCAGCGGGCGCGGAACGGCCTGGAGAAGTTGGAGAAGGAGTTGGGTGAGAAGGAGCGCCAGCTTGATGAGCTGGCCAAGGGCATCGCGACGCGCAAGGAGACGATCGCAGCCAAGAAGTTGGAGGTGGCGGCGCTGGATGCAGAGTTCAGCGAGTCGGCCAAGAACGTCACCACCGTTGCGGCCGACATCGTCCTCGTTGAGGAGGACGTGGCCGACCAGCCCGACCTCGTCGCCGTCCTCAAGTCTGAGGCATGGGTCAAGCTCAAGTCGGCGGTCGCCAGCAATGCTGCTGCCCGCGCTGCCAGCATTGGGACTGTTCCTCCTGCTGCTGATGCTGCCGATGAGGCTATGCCTGCCCCCACGGAGGTGCAGAAGCGGGCCCTCTATCACGCTCGGAGTGAAGGGAGCGTCGATGACTTCACGTCCGCCTTCGACACCATGTGGTCCGAGCTGGCGGCCAAGCGAGCGCGGCATGGGTAGTCCTGCGACTGCCTGGCCTGGCGTTTGCGGGCTGCCTGGGCGTGGGCGGGCGCCGCCGAGCGGGGCCAGGCCGACGGTCGGCGCTGAGTTCAGCGTCGAGACCTACAACGCCAGCGGCGGCAAGGCGTCCGTCAAGAAGCGCCTTGCCAGCGCGGTGGCAAGCGTGGTGCTGCTGCAGGAGTTCGGGCACATCAGCGAGCAGGTTGAGGCCTTGGCTTCATGGTGCGGCGTGCGAGGTTGGGGGCTTATGGCGTTGCCGAGCCTGCCGACTTCTGGTTCTGTGCCGTCGGCAGGAGTTGCTGTTGCCGTGCGCGATCGTCTCGGACTTCGTCCTCCTACCCTCGGTGCGCATGAGGTCGCCCCGAACCGAGTTCAGCATGTTCTTATAGATTTAACCGAGCTGCCTGTCGGCCTGCATGCCTTCAACGTGCACCTGCACACTGGTGAGGGCGCCGCTGGCCGCAACGACAGACTGTTGCAGGAGTTGGGCCTCGCTGCTGAGGCACTGGGCGGTCCCGCCGTCATCGGCGGTGGCTGGAACATGTGCCCAGGCGACTTGGAGGCGAGCCAATTCCCCGCTCATGTTGGTTGTTCGATTGTGAGCTCGTCTTCTGTCACGTTTCGAGGAGGTACAGGTCAGTCTGTCATCGAGTATGTCCTCCTCAACTCAGCGGCCATGAGGATGTATGCGAGCGCGGGCATTGATGTTAAGTGGGCCAAGCGAGGCCATCGGCCTGCTCATGCTGTCCTCAAAGGCGACGCTGAGCACGCGAAGCGACTGGTCTACACGGCGGCGTCAAAGATGGGCACTCAGATCACCATCGGGCCGCAGGCGCAGCCGCCTACCTACACTAGCGCTCGGTGTGTTGCTGAGGCTGCTGTCCAGTCTTGTGGCGATCCTGAGTCTCCTCCCGGAGTTGGGCGGGGCCTTCTCTCGGCGGCGTGGGGCCACTTCGCGGTCGCAGCTGCAGGGGTTATTGCTAACGTTGTTGGCCATCAGGGTCGCAATGTTCTTTATGGTTTCGCTCGTTCCTTGCAACCTCGGTGGGTCGACGTCACCTATGCGGTCAATGGCGCGTCCGACCTGCAAGCCGTGGCAGAGGGATGGCAATGGTTACAGTCTTCCCTCCTCAGCATCATGCAGTGCAAGACGACGGCCAACCCGTCCGCGCAGGACTTGGCGATGGCTGCCGAGGAGATCCTCAACTTCACCGCTGCCAGCTACCACGTGCAGGGTCTTGCCGCGCGCCTCGACCGATATGTTCAGCAGGCGCGCGGCATGTTGCAGGCTATCTTCGACGAGGAGGCGCGCCGCGTGTTCCTAGGGGACATCGAGCCCGACGTCAAGCTTGCGGTCAATTGAGCTACCCATGAGGACCACCAGAAGTGGAAGGAGTGGTGTGCCATGGCCGTTTCCAGTGGCTCGCGCGTCCCCCGCCGTACTACGAAGTACCGTGACGTTGCTCAGCCTACGGCGCCCCCCACGGCCCATGGCGCGTCGGCTCGCGTTCGCGATGTTGTTCGGCATGATGTGGAGTTGTACAAGAGGTTGTGGTCCAGCTCCCGTCCAGTGCCAGCATGGGCCCCCGACCGAACGGCGTTGCCGAAGGCGAGTCCTGGCGAGATACGCGCAGTTGCGCGATCGTTCTCGCTCAACACCACGGCAGCGCCTGACCAGTGGTGCTCGATGCTGGGCTCTACAGGATTTGGCAGCGGATGCGACGGCCAGTGCTTCGAGAGTTGCAGGGGCAGATTTACAGGCCGTACTGGGGTGCTGCTCGTGGGCGGTCCTCCGTCGACTGCGCGTGGCCCCGGGCGGCCGAGGGCGAAGCCGACGGCGCGCAGGCCTACCGCGGCGCGCTCGCCGTTGCCGATTTCAGCAAGTACTACGAGCGCATTCCTTTGACCAAGCTGCGCGACACGTACATCAGCTTCAACGCGCCCACGGCCTTCCTGAAGTTGGTGCACAACATGTGGCGTGCGCCACGTGTGCTGAGGCTAGCTGGTCATCGTGCGGAGCAGGCCCTTTGTGCCGAATGCGGCCTCCCTGCGGGAGATGTGTTTTGTGATGTTTCGATCGTGGTATGGCCTGTGAGGGAGTATGACAGCTTCCTTGTCAGGCAGCCTTTCATTCGGCTCGTGAGCTACATTGACGGCAACTCTTTTCGGGTGTCGTCTACCACGGGGAGCACGACTGCTTCCATGATGGTCAACGCCATGCTGGAGTTCAGGGGCACGGTCTCGGAGCCCGACGCGATCATCAACGACAAGCTCGTGATTGTCGGCGCCAGCCTCTCCCATGCGCAGGGCATCGTGTCCAGGCTCGGCCTGCCTGCCTCAGTCGCGAGGCGCAGTGCTGTCTATGTCGGCGTCGACGTCAGCGAGGGCAGCAGGAGGGCCGACCAGGGAGTGCTCACCAAGCGCGCCAAGCGCAAGGCGCATATGCTGAGGCGCATGCGGAAGATCAGGCGGTTCGGCAAGATCATCACTGGCCACAAGGCGCAGTCTATCGGCCGCGTCATCCGTGCTAGTGCCTTGCCCGAGGCCACCTACGGCAGCGAGGTCGTCGGGCTCAACAAATCGGAGTGGCTGGGGCGCAGGCGTGATGTCGCTCGAGGGCAGCTTCCAGCGCATGGTGGTGTGAGCCTTTCTGGCAAGACTGTCTTGCTCGGCGATGGCGCCGCTGCCTTCTGCCCTTGCGCATGCCATCCGGTGGTGCAGAATGTTGTGGCAATCGGAGGTCTGCAGCCACCCGCTCGCTGTGCGTGTTCGTTTGTTGCGGCTCTGGCGTGAAGCTAAGCCATTTCAGGTCACCGACTGGGCATCTAGTCGTGGCCCCTTGTCTCGAGCTGCGCTAGCTGCGCAGCGCGCGGGCTGGCGAGTCTTGTCTGCGATAAGCTGGATGGACCATCGAGGATCTATCATTGATGTTAGTAGAACGCCTCCGTGTATGCTCTCAACTCTCATGTTTGCTGGCATTCAGCGTCAGCGCGCGATTTTTTGAGCCATGCAGCTGGGGGCTCCGACAGGCTCCAGGGCCTCGCTCGATTTCGTTCGGTCGGCGGTCGGCGGTCGGTCTCGACGGCTTTCCAGTCTGCAGAAGTTGCTTGTTGGGAGCTGCTCGTGCCGCGGAGTCTGGGCCAAGGCCCGCGCCCAGGCTGCTGGCTACCTTTGCGATGGCCTCTGTGCGCGTGGCCAGAGGCAGACGATCAAGCACTGTTTGTATGAATGCATGCTGCCTGCCGTCGTCGCCGCCCTCAGTGCAGGTATCGAGTCTGACGATCCCATCTTTGTGCAAGGAGTTATCCTGTATGATGAGGAGGAGATTCCTCCCCCTTCCTGCTCGGATAAAGTGGTCCTCGAGGGCCCCGGGGGGGGGGGGAGTTGGCGGTTGAGGTTGAGGGGGTGGCGTCTCCTGTTCAGGGCCCTCGATTGGACGTTGCCCCTGATGGCTCCTGCACGCGACCAGGCTTAGTGGAGCTTGAGCGTGCGTCGTGGTCCATTGCAGTGCTGTCTCCTGGGTCTAATGTGCCCGTGGCAGTCATTCGAGGCCCTGTTGCAGGCAACCTTCCTCGAACGCCGAGTATCGCCGAAAGTGTTGCGCTTTGTTTGGTTGGCCAGATCGCCGGCCGTGAGACCCTGGCTGGCAGCGACTGTACCTCCGCGATTCGGCGATTCCAGCAACCTGTTCAAGCCCAGCTGCGTGCGTCCAACCAGGCAGCTGGCATTCTGAAGTTCGGTCGTGGCCTGGAAGGCCACCAATTCATCTCGGCTCGGCACGTCAAGGCTCATCGGTCCCAGGAGCAGATTGACAGTCTCTCGGGCGAGGAACGCCACTGGGCTGAAGCGAACCGTTTCGCCGATCACCATGCTAAGGTTGCTGCCAGTTTACACCCTGCTCGGTCGCCAGAGTTTTTGGCCAAGCTCGATATCGCGAGGAGTCGGGCTGCCGATTTTGTGTCGTTGGCTGCTGCTGTCCTCCCGTGCTTCCTCGAGGAGAGCCCGCAGCGGTGGCGGAGACCCGCGGCGCTGTGCCGCAAGAGGAACTTTCGGGGGGGGGGGTGGCACTCTTGGGGTCTGGGTGAGCTCGGCTGGCAGTGCGAAGTCTGCTTCAAGGTTGCGCCATCGTGTCGCAACCTGCCTTTGAATGGTTGTCTTGGGGCCCCGTCGTTTTTGAAGCCTCTCACGGAAGACTCGTTGGGGCATCAGCTTGTCGCCGTCAGTGGCTCTCGTCTTGCTCCGTTGCGTGCTGTGCGGTGCCGTGCCGAGGAAGAGAGCACCGAGGCTCGACGGGGATCCCTGCTTTGTCTGAAGTGTGGAGGTTGGAGCCAGGAAAAGGCCATTAAGTTGAGCCAGCCCTGTGCCCCCTCCACCAGCACTGGTAAAATGATTGTCGCGTTTTCGGAGAGGGCTCGCCCCGAATCCCCGAATTCGTGCGTTGATCGACCGAGCGGTTCCTGCCCCGCGCGTCGGTCTCACAGCGGCTAGTGCGAGGGATGTCAGAGCGTCGACGTCAGTTGTTGAGTACTCGGTCGACAGTGCTATCCCGCACGAAGCTCGAATGGCTCGCTTGCTGGAGCGGGTTCGAGCCCGTGGGGACAGCCGCCAGGTTTAAGTTTATCGGAGCGGGTGCACCTGTCGCGAGCGCCGAGAGTGGCAAGTGTCCACCACGCTCGGCCTCACAAAATCTCCCCCTGATGGCGCCCCCGCCCCCGCAAATTTTGCGGGCTGGCCCCTCTGTCCTTGGACTGTCCTCCTGGGAGTCGTCTCATCCCATCTCATCTCATCCTCCCCCCCTACTTCTTCTGTCTCGAGCCATCTGGCTCAAGCTGGCCTCTCGCTCCCTGGACCCCGCGAGCGGCGCGCGTGGGCGCGCGCCTGGGCGCCTCATGGTGGCCCGGCGCCTCATGGTGGCCTGGAGCAGCTGGCACCCTTTTCGGCACCTACGGCGCGGCAGGCAGCACTTCGCGAAGTACGCCATGGCCAAGCAGGTGCCCTCCGACACCATGGACACCCAGCAACTCATGAGCTTGATCACTATCACCTCCTACTTGAACAAGGAGATCGTCCTGTGCGAGCTCATCAACAATGCGTCTGGTGCCCTGGGCACGGTGCAGAAGGACATGAAGCTGCTGCCGCTCATGATCGCAATCAAGATCAAGAAGCCCTTCAGCAATGCCGAGGTGACGGGGGAACCCAAAGACATGCGGGCGGATGATGTCTTTGCCGTGCCCCTGACGAAGGTGAAAGCGACCGCCGAGAAGAACCTGGGCAAGGAGGTCAAGCATGCAGTGGCCGGTATGCCGGCGTATTTCAACGAGGCGCAGAGGCAGCCCAAGAAGGGCCCGAACACTAACTCTGGGATGAACATCCTTCAGATCATCTGCGAGCCCACGGCGGCGATCGCGCATGGCCTGGACGGGATGATCGAGACAGAATCCAGGTGTTCAATCCCGACGAGGACAAGGCCGTCGAGGAGATACGCGAGGTGATCACGAAGAAGTTCCCCGACATCATTTTCAAACCCGACTGCGAGAAGGGCGTCGAGTGCGCGTGGGGCGCGGAGGCGGCCGACCGCCCGCAGGAGCCAATGACGCTGCCGAGCCCGTCGGTCATCGCGAAGCCCTTCTGAGAGGTCGCGCCGCAGAAACTGATCGAGGACAAGGCTGTTGGGGAGATCGCGGAGAAGTTCCCCAACGTCAAGCTCAACCCCGTCTGCAAGACGGACATCGAGAGCGCGCGTGGCGCGGCGGCGGTCAAGTGCCCGCACGAGCTGAAGACGCTGGCGAGTCCGACGTCCATCGAGAAACTCATCTGCGAGGCCTCGTTGCATAATCAGATCGAGGACAAGGCCGCTGAGGAGATCCGCCAGGTGTTTGGCGCCAAGGTCCCCCTCGAGTCCACGGCCGTTGGTAGCACCGTCGCCAGTCTGACACCAAGGCCTTCCTGGAGGCAGCGGCTGTTGGCGGCGACATCTCCATGATTGGGCAGTCCGGAGTGCGCCTTGACTCGCGTATAACATATTGCACTGGTGTGTGATGCCAAATCCATATCACGGTGCATGCAGTCTCTGTGCTGTCTTTCGCCGTTGCATGCAAAACCTTCCTTGAGAAGGGGCGGTTTTACGGTGCATGCAGTCTCTGTGCTGTCTCTCGCCTGTGTCTCATGAAACCTTCCTTGAGAAGGAGCGGATTTTGCAGCGTGCCCGAATGCTGGGGCCAAGGTGCATCCCTGTCGTCTGCGATCGGGCGATGCGATCGACCCGAACTCTTCCGCGAGGTTTTGGGTCAGGGTCGGGTCGGCCAACCCATCACCTCCCTCATTAGCCATGTGATTATCCTCCCCCTTCTTGTGCACTCTCCA